TCTCGCTGATGAAATTTTTGACAATTAGACTTTAGTACAGTTTCACAATAAAGCAACTTTTGAATAAATTATTTTTACATGTTCAATTAGAAGGTAGAGACTTTGTTGCACCGTTTGTTCTTGCCACAAACGGGCAATGGGTGCCCTCTCATGTTGAAAATCCACTCATCGAGTGAAAAGAAACTGTTGTCGGTTTCATTGGCAAAGATTAGGTAGAGGTAGTTGAGTGTGCCAGAAAAGAGGTACCACTGCTGACTGTTGTCTTTTTCCGCCGGCAGCGAGTCCACACTGCGCAAATCGGAGATGCCGCCAAATGCAGTTCTACAGTGTTTGTACATCGCCATGGTCAGCTCCCACGCCCGCTCTCGGTACTTGCTGTCGGCGGTCAGTCGCCAGAGAATAAAGTACGATTCAGCGAGATATGGTCTGAGATTAAAAGTAGTTAAAAGTTCATCACTAACTTTTTCATTACTTTGCGTCTCCCTTGCCTCCCTCTTACACTAAATGCCCATTGTCATTTACCGTTCCATCGGCCCAAAAGCTTTCTGGCAGCAGTTTTGTACGTGTCCTACTAGCTGTCTGGTAACATGTTTCAGTAATGTTCACTGCCAGCTGAAGATGCAGCTCGGCTGCACTTGTGCTCACATTCTTCAGCTCTCTGGCGCCAATGGCCAACATGGCGCCCAGCTGACAGGCAGTTCGGTCCATGACTAAGCTGCTGTTCCTTCTGATCACATCATAGCTGTCCACGTAGAGCAGCCCATCACCACCACTAGTCATCAGTTTGAACATGCCCGCCTTCACCGTGGCAGACATTGCCTGAGCGTACATCTCCAGAAGTTCAGCATCCTCTCTGCCCAGCTGAACGTAGGAACGAAGCATGTTGTAGTAAAAGTCAATGGCGCCGTTGTTCAGCGTGCTCATCGAGCTAACCGGTTCACCCGAGCTGGCATTCACTACGTGCATGTACAGTCCAAACGGTCGAAATGCGGCCTCCATCGTTTGGCGAGTTTTTGCCAGAATACCGGGCAGCCGTGCCACTGCTTTATGGTTAGGTAGGAGTTTTGATAGGTAGATCAGCTCGGGCTGCTGGAAGCCAACGTTTGAGAGGTAGTTCCACTGTACATCAAGCTGTCCACTGCTCGGCTTGATCTTGTACACCAGCAGACCGGTGATGGGGTGAAAAGCGGGCAGCAGTGTCTCCAAGACAGCAGCTGACCGGTTCAGCAGCACCGGATCACCGCTGAGAGCGTAGGCGGAGAGCAGTCCGCCCAGGTAGTCGGTCATCGTCTCCATTGAGCCGATGCTGCCGTTGATGGCAGAGTAGGCAAACTCCTTTTCCACCCAGTTCACAGCCGCCGCCCATTCTTTCTTCAGACCCATCGTCCACAGTGTGCTCAGCGCATTGATTAAACTTAGGCCTGGATAAGAGGTGTAAAAGCCGCTGGAAGGCTGCCGAGTGATCGGGTGCACTATTGCCGCTCCCCAAGCGTACCTTCGGTACAAACCAAATGCTTCTCGTGTCATATTGCGCACAAAAGCCTGTCGACAGCCGTTTAGACTGTTGATAGACTGATGGTCAGTGCACGGTTGCGGCTCAAAAATGCACAGCTTCTTTTGCATAGAGAATGTTGCTTCTTCTTTTTCTTTAGATGCCGGGCAAAAAATTGGCAAAGGGTGCCCACGGTTGTTGAAAATCCACCTGTCCAGCGGCAGTGTGCTGTCATTGGAGAAGGTAAGATAGAGATACTTGAAGAGGCCGGAAATGAAATACTCTGCTTGGACGTCTTCCACTCCGCTGACAAAAGAGTCTACGCCGACCAGGCGAGTGTATCCCCCCGTCAGAGTGCGAGCGTGAATGTAGACGGCCATTGTCAACTCCCAGGCTCGCTCTTGGTACTTTACATCGCCGGTCAGGCGCCAGAGGATGAGGTAGGACTCAGCCAAAAACGGTCTGCAAAGGAAAAATGCCATAAATTAGTTTGGAGTAAAATAATCGCTCTGACTGTGCGCCCTCATTACGAGATACTTCCTCGGCCCAGAGAGGTGTAATTCATCCTAAAGCTATCCGGTAGCAACTTTGTCAGCGTGCCATTTGCCGTTTGATAGCAGGTTTCAGTGATGTTGACTGCCAGTTGCATGTGCAGTTTGGCGGCAGTTGTGTTGACTGCCTGAAGCTCTCGTGAACCAATGGCCAAGATGGCGCCCAGTTGACAGGCGGACTCATCCATGCTTCGGCTGTACCGTTCTGCACTGAGGTCTGCTTCTCGAACGTACACCAGTCCGTTGAGTTCCATCCGATTGAACAGTCCCACATGGAAGCAGGCTTCAATTGCCTTTCGGTACATCTCCAGGAGAGACGCCTCACGTCGTCCGCCTTGAATGTACGAGCGAAGGAGATTGTAGTGAAACTGATTTGACTGTTCAAAAAGTGACACTACACGTCCTTCAGTTTTTGGCTGGAAGCTTCCCTTGGTCACGTCTACAGTGCTGAAGTACAGGCCGTCGTATAGAATGCCAGCGTAGATCATCAGCTCTTTGACTGCGGCCAGACGGCTGTTCAACCGGTGGCCACTACCATCACCATCATCATCATCAATCAGTTTGGCAAGGTAAAGCAGCTCCGGTTGCTGAAAGCCAATGCCAGAAAGGCTGTTTATGCTGTCGGGTTTTTCAACCACTGATTGATTTTGTACTTTCCTTTGCTTCTTAGGCGCAATCTGGCTCACCAGCATGCCGGAAAAGGGGTCAAAAGCACCGACAGTCTCCATCATCATCAGCAGCTCAGTGAATCGGTTGAGCAGCACCGCCTCTCCTGAAAGGGCATATGCAGACAACAGTCCACCGAGATAGTCGTCGATGATTGCCCTGCTGCTTATACTGTTTTGATCATCATCAAAAAACGATGACGAAAAATTGAGCTCTTCAGTTATCCACTGCAGCCCCTGGCGCCACTGTTCACTCAGCCCCATCGTCCAGAGAGTGCTCATCGAGTCAACCAGTGTCAGACCGGTAAGTGGGGCGAATGAGCCATATTGTGCCGGTTGCCGGGAAACAGGTTTCACCGCAGGGCTTCCCCAAGCGTACTCTCGATACACGG